CACTCGGAACACCTAACTCCACAAATATCCCAAAACACATCGTTTTTCTACAGATTACAAATCTCCTGAAAATGGAACAAACAAGTGGCAACATGTGTGACGAAGGTGTTGCGCTGGGCTATATCATGCAGTTGAAAGAAACTTCAGCTCGCTCCTGGAGATATTCCCGCGAGAGTGCGGAAAACTTTAATTAATTAATTAATTTCAAATATGGAATATTTCCAAAATTCCCCATCTTAACTTCCCATGGAAATCTACCAGGACTTTTCCGCCCCTTTGCAACCCTAATCCTGACTGATTAAACTGTTTCAGCTCCACGGGGCAGACATGTTGGACATTCGGTAATGTCTATACTTTGGTTTCCGCCATCTCCTGAGAAATATATTAATGATGTTGATCCATGGAATAAATGAATAATTATACTGTAACAGTATCTCTTATACTGTCAAATTACCACTAAGCATTTTAGCTTCTTTTAGCTCATAGTTTTACGATACATTTATTGTCTGTTCAGTCTCCTGTGAACCCACTGTCAGCAGCAAACAGCATTCAGAGTTTAGAGACTAGCTGGTGAACAAAGTTGAGTATTTAGCAGCTCTAGAGACAGATATGCACCTCTGGATGAGGAGACCAAACACGGAGCTTAAAGAGCACATTGGACTGACCTTTATCACGTGAACACAACAATAATCCTGATGAATGTTCATGATGCTCTGCTATCGGCTGACATGTTAACGAGGTACCAAGGTAATATCATGTTAATATTGACTACAAAATCTATCCATTTCAGGCTCTTCTGTACCTGAAATGGCTCACAACTACTAAGAATATCTTTTAACAAAGGGCTTAATTTAGGAGAAACATCCCATAAGGCCTCAAATGTTGAATATCCGCATAAACAGTTCCTCCAAAGTTCTTAATACTTTTTTTAGTTTTTTGGATTGAGCTATTCCAAGAATGTCGTCGCCCTAGTGTTACCACCTACATGGATGGAGTTGTGTCAGAAAGCTGGACCTGAATGGTGCATTGTGGGACTTAACCCTTTAATCGTCAGTGGGAACGGCTCTGATCCCGTCAGCAGGACTCAGGGCCCCAGCTACAAAACCACATTTCTGCCTAATTACTGTTGTTGTTGTTGGGTTCAACTCTTTGTGAATAAAATATGACCCCGTGTATGACATGAATCCAAGCCACTTCTCAACAGATGTCCCCCACGCCGAGAAACGGGCCTTTTCTCAGAGTGTTTGGTGAAAAGGGGCTCAGGCTGGAACACAAAGCCCTCGAGTTTTCACAAAAGGCCGAGGGGAGAGGATCTGGAGGGGCGGTGTGAAAGGATCCGTCTAATTGCAGAGCCGGAGAGAGTCCTGGTGAGCAGGTAGAGAAATGAAAGAGGCACAGATGTCACTCTGAGGAACATCTCCTGTTCTGCTGCTTTTAAAAAGACGGGAACACAACGCAACACATGTCGGGACGAGTTTTACTGTCGGACACATGCTGAGTGGCTAATAGGAATCACTTAAGGAAGACTCACGTAACTGAACAAGTGTTTTCAAAGCACGAGCAAGAGCGTGTGAGCAGGGTTCCTACAACTTAGGTTTTTATGATGAATTAAAGTCCAATATTCACATTTATGAAGCTCTGCCTTGGTCTCCACCAACTGCTGGGAAAGTAAACTGATGTTGATCCATAGATTAAATGACTTTATCTGATTCAACAATGTTTCCTGTACTGTTGAAGTACCACCAACTCTCCTAGATTGAATTCAGGGAACATTCATTGCCTGGTTCAGCAGTGTTTCCATCCATAAGCCCGCTGTAAACTACGAGAATTTAACAGCTGAAGAGGCAGATTTTTTATTTTCGGTGGTGGAGGAGACCAAAGACGGAGCTTAACGAGGCACAGATTTCCCTCTGAAGAACTCGTTCTGCTGCTTTTCAAAAGACAGGAACACAAGGCAACACATGTCGGGATGAGCATGATTTACAAATTTGAATGACCTTTGGGAAACATGTTTTCAGTAGCTTCGGTCCTGCTGCTGTTCTGTTGTGTATTTTCTGTTGAACTGTTAGTAGGTTAAAAATATAGGCATTTGTTATTATCGTTTTTTAAACCTAAAAGTGGATCTTGGTTCGATGTCGGAGTGAAAAGACCTTAGCAGAAGACGTATGACAGCATGATGAACAAAAGTGAATGTGGATCATATAGACGTGGGGTTCTCGCCTATTTGTACGCTACCCAACTCCCCCCCCCCCCCCCCCAATACACACTTATTTCGGCTTCTCCCCCCCCTCCTCTCCCCGCTCCATTGAGTCACACAGCAGTTGTCTATGAGGGTCATGTTCCTATTTGTTAGGTATTGATTAGAGCGTTTATCCCCTCAACCAGTGTGAGAGTCCCCCAGGCTGAGGGAGGGGGAGGGGGAGGGGGGAGAGACAGAGATGTCTTCTAAGTACAGGGTTCCTGCAAGGTTTCACCAACTCAAATTTAGACCACTTTGAATATAATTTAAGACCTATTTCACGGCAAGAAAGTATGAAGGAAAATTGCTATGAAAGAAAAAATACATACAATAATTACTAACAAAGTAAATGTATTCACGTTCAACATAAGAACGATGACTGACCATAACAGCATAACAGCACACTGAACTGTGTTAGCGTGTGTGTGTCTCTGTGTCGGTGTGTGTGTACAATTTTTCAGAAGATAATCTGGAAGTGTGAAGTTAGGACTATTTCTAGATCTTTTTTTGAGCTCTGCTGCCTTGGCTACAACCTTTCATCGTTGGTGTTTATCTACGGTATTTAGCGTCCACAGCACCTCCGCTTTTAAAGTTGGCGTAGACCCAAACGTCGCCCGGAGGTCCCCCGATGTTTTGCGGGAGCTGCTGCACTAGCTAACGCTGCACCTTTGCTAACGCTGCACTAGCTAACGCTGCACCTTTGCTAACGCTGCACTTGCTAACGCTGCACTAGCTAACGCTGCACCTTTGCTAACGCTGCACTAGCTAACGCTGCACCTTTGCTAACGCTGCACTTGCTAACACTGCACTAAATAACGCTGCACCTTTGCTAACGCTGCACTAGCTAACGCTGCATTAGCAAAGGTGCAGCGGGCTTCAAACACGTTCCCCTCCACTGGTTTCAACCAAGCACTAAATGCGATGTTTTCCAACCAAATACGGTTGAACTGCCCCGTATTTATTTGTAAGTAGATTCGAAGATACCCGAGTTTCTGACTGCCGCTAGCTGAAGCTTGGTTGCTAGGTTACAAGCTGGGTGACCAGATGCACAGCCTTTTCACGACTTTTGGTGCGTCCCGCAAACTGAGACGATGTTCCGCATATTTCATTTTGGTTGGCCAAAACGCTTTTTCTGTGGAGAAAGGCGGAGAAAGGCCGGCTCGGTTCGCTGACGGCCGGCACGCCCTTTATTATTATATGTTTTAAACGGCATCATGCGCTGACAGTTCACGCATCGACATTGCATTTACATGTCCCACATTGTCCCACATTGTCCCACACAAACATACTCTGTCCCACTTGTGGCTTTCTGGCACCTGGTCACCCTGGATGCAAAGTTAGTGATTACTGGTTCCATGTTGATTTATTTCAATACAGATTGTTGGGGGGAACTGAAAGGCTCTTACCGTACTGGTTACTTTGCAGCCCGGACATTTCCCCCAAAACACATTTAGACACGATCGCAACACAGAAGTACATTTCAAATCCCATCATATTTAAGACCTTTTAAGGCCTTACATTCTGATCATCAAATATAAGACTGTTTAAGACCCCGTGGGAACCATGTAAGTAATGTGTGTATTTATTATCAGTTATATCCTGAACTCTCATCAATAATTGGCCTTTATGATTCCTGTGGATGATACTCAAAAAAGTTAACTGTTTATTTCCTGTCTGTCATTACGGTCTAAAAAGTTATTTTGATTTGAGAGAAAGAGAGAAAATGTCAGATCCTAAAAAAAGTCTTAAACTGCACTGTAACTTTTATCCATGTATTTTTTCTTTTAATGTTAATTTTATTATCGTTTATTTTTAATGACTGATTTTAAATGCCATTTTCTTAATGTCTTTCGTTTTTTGTAAAGCACTTTGAATTGCCTTGTGTTGAAAGGTGCTAAATAAACGTGCCTTGCTGCTAATTAACACATAAGATTTCTCAAGACACTTCACTTTCAAGAGTTAGTCATTAGAGAATGGTTATTTTATATAATTAACTTTTTAATATATCATTTGTTCCGATGAGATACTTTATTCAAATGTAGGATTGATGTTAAAAATATAACCAGCTTCACTCAAAAACCTCAAAAGGAGCTTCAAATGTAAAATAAATGACATTCAGTTCAGATTTGATGAAACTGTTGAGTCTTGTATTTAACTGTATCGCGTGTTGACTTGATTTAGTTATGAATTGATCATTTTCCTTTTATCCTATGATTGTGTGTAAACATGATCAATAAATGTCACTGATTTGTCCGATTACACCCTCCTCCTCCTCCTCCTCCTCCTCCTCCTCCTCCTCCTCCTCCTCCTCCTCCTCCTCCTCCTCCTCCTCCTCCTCCTCCTCCTCCTCCTCCTCCTCCTCCTCCTCCTCCTCCTCCTCCTCCTCCTCCTCGCTGTTTCTTTACTCTCTCTTATTAAGATTGAATGTTTAATTAAAGTTGTCAGAAAAAAATATATAATATCATGTAATGCAGCTGACATTTCCTTTGAGTAACACGACCAGAGAAGTGATTGTATGAGGTGAATTAAGAGCAGAGAGTTTGTTTGTTTTGAAAAAATGAGTGGGGATGAAGCATTCATTGTTACTAACTCATTTAAGTCAAATGTTGTTGCCAATTAATTTCTTGGTGTCATTTTGAATGTAATGTCATTTTACCCTCACTCATTGTGTGTGTGTGTGTGTGTGTGTGTGTGTGGTGTGTGTGTGTGTGTGTGTGTGTGTGTGTGTGTGTGGTGTGTGTGTGTGTGTGTGTGTGTGTACCAGGCAGGAGAAGGAGTCGTTCATGCGGTGCTGCAGAGTGTGTTTCTGTAACACGGTGAAGAGGGCGGTGTGGTCGAAGCGGCTCGGAGCGACGGAGATCAGACCCTCGACCCCCTGCCGCTGAGAGGGGTCCAGACCTGAGAGACAGGAGGGATAAAAACTCAGAGTTCAAACCCTGACAGTTTGTAAGGGACTTGGTTTTGATACATGGTTAGGGTCAGAGTTATCTGAGAGATATATTGGTAAAACAAAGCCACGATATTAGGACATATGTAGGTCTTATTTGAAAAGAAAGAACCAGGGGACTTTAAAGGTCGACAGTAAAAAAGTGAATATTCTCTGGATTTATAAAGTACTTTTTTTTTACTTTGGATGTTTCAAGAAAACATTTACAAGAAAAAAACATGATAATTCTGAGATTATAAAGTCATACATTTGCCAGTAAAATGTATAATTTCCGAGATTTGAAAGAACATCTATTCTGAGTTGGGTGCAGAGTGCTCCGATATAAATAGTTTTGTTTATCCATGACAATCTTAACTCCCAGAAAGATGTGCCTACATCAGGCATGGGAGCATGAGAGCATGGGAGCATGGGAGCATGGGAGCATGGGAGCATGGAAATATCCACTTTAGGACAAGAATTGGATTGGGATGCAATTTGGGCTAATGTGACGGGTCCTTCAAAAAACCCAAACCATCAGTATATACATCTGAAATGTTGTCGTAGAGCATATCTAACACCAATAATTGGGTTGGTACCCGACCCTTACAGTTCATTTTGTCACCAGGGAACCATTGGCTCTTTCTTACATGTTGTATGGGAGTGTCCAGGAGTATTACACTTTTGGGGGAAGGTTATTAGAAACCTTACAGATTTAATAGGGTTACCAATGGAACCTGCTGTACATCTTCTAAATCAGTGGTTCCCAACCTTTTTTTCCCAAGAGCCCCCCCAAATGACTCCTGTTGGAAGTTGCGCCCCCCCCCCACACACACACACACACACACGCAGCAGCGGTAATTAAAGTTTCAAAGTCTCAAAATGCTACAACTACTGTCACAAACTGGATGAGTGTGAAGTATGTTGTTAAAGGAGGATGAAAGCGTAATCAAGGAGCACTATTGGAGTGACTTTGATGGTTATTGGACTTAGGATTATTCATTTGGATTCCCGCTGTATGAAGAAATTAAAGGACGGCGGAAGTGGAAACAATTCACAAAGGGATTAAACTGTTTAAAACACATGCTCAAAGTAAGCCGGATTTTGCCGATGTGTTTATTTGGATTCAAAAGTCGTAAATAATCTACAAAATGGAGGAGACCGATCTGATCGGAGCAACTGTGACAAATAATCCAACTGAAACCGGCATGGACAACGACTGTTTTAAAAATGCGCTTATCCAGAAAAGCCTGGTTTGGACACTTTACGGGCAGAAGAAACATTTCTATTAAAGAAAGAATTATACATTTCTGTCTTTTTATGCCTTTAATAGCTACTAACTTGAATTTGTATTAAAATGAATTAATCAATTATTTTTTATATTTTATTGTAATGTAGAGAAAAGGCTTTTAGTGACAATCGTGTATTGTGTTACAATTATATGTAAAAAAAAAAAAAAAGGCCTCAAATCATCTGAGGCCTGGCACCCCCCCTGCGATCTTTGGCGTGCCCCCCAGGTTGGGAACCACTGGTCTAAATGATGAATCTCACCTTTCCCTCGGAAAACTCGCAAAATCTGGCCAACAGGCTTGACTGCAGCTAAAAAGATTATCGTCCAACGTTGGAAACCTCCTCACGATATTTCAAGTTCTCACTGGCTTCAGTTTTTTTAACATTTCTTACCTTGAACTGTCCTCTACGAGAATCAACGATGCAAAACCTGATCTAATCTCTGATATCTAACTTAAAGGAGCTCCTGACCAAATACGAATGGAAGGTGTAGGGAAGAGGGATGGGATTGAATTAATCCAGAATGTTGTGCAACCTGAATTGTTTTCTGTACTGTGTTGTAAATAAAGTTGCAAGAATCAAGAGTATACAATTGTAACAACATTTTTTTATTTTGAGATTAAAGTTGTGCATTAAATTAAAAAAAAAAAGACATTTAAACAATTTTGTCTATACATTTCCAGTAAAAAAATAATTAAATCTTACGAGCAAAAAACGTGGATATTCGATTAGATTGGCAAATTAAATAAAAAAAATCACATATTTATAATAAAAACACTTGAATATTCTTTTGAGATTATAACGTTGCAAGAAAAAACTATTTTTCAGAATGTAAGTAAAAAAACTGATGTCAAAATGGTAAATGTACTCAATTAAAGACAAATTGACTATAAATGTTCCTGATTTTTCAAGAGTTTTAAAAGCTATATATCTGTTAGTAAAACACTTTTTTTCATTAAAGTCGTACATTAACAAGATAAAATGATGATTATAAAACCATGAATTGTTGAGAGTTTGGTTGACTTTTCAAAATGGTTTTCTGTTATACTTCCAGAACAGCTTACTGTTTCGTGATGAACTTCATCATTTTAAAGTGTATGAAAGATAAACCCTTAAATGCTGTAAAAGGTATTGGGATTTTTTGAAATGTGTTATAATTGTGAAAGTTTTGAGCTTGAGCTGCACCAGGTATTCTAGATTTTTAGGATTACATGTTTATTTTGTGAAGTATAGACTTTTGCCTGGAGGATATTTAATGTGAAATCAGAGTTGAGTTTATGTTAGGTAGGGTTAACAC